GTCCTTAAAATTAATTTAAAGTACTTTCGATACAAAAGGTTAGGTTGCAAATTATAAAACTTTCTTAAAGATACTAAAAAATACTATATTTTATAAAACTTAAATTTCTCGGAGAGGGTGTTAATCAAGGGGACGTGGCGTAGGCGTAGCTGACTTCTCGATTTCAATTAATTTACTCAATCTAATCGAGTTAGAGAATTAACTTGCGGCTTTACGACTGCACTCTTAATACTTTGAGGAAGTGATAGAAAAGAATACTTTAGAATAAATAACCTTGAACTTATTAGAATATTGAATTTAAACTTAGTAGCCGATAGATTCATGCACTTTACGTCATGCGTATCAATAAAAACCTAATCATATAAAAGGAAGTGCTACGAAATGCATCCACACTTACTATCCACCTGCTGAACGATTTTTTAGAAGAAATCTTACAAATCAAAGTATTCGCTAGCTATCGGGCATGATTGTAACGCAGTTGTTCAAATAACGCTTTCAGTTATGTAAAAAGACCAATTTATACTGTATAAATATGATATATTAGGCATAAAGGCGGCCAAATGATTGTTTTCCTAAATAATTAGCGTAAAACCTTAATATTAATATACATAATTTAGTGAGTGTGTATGAATATATGAATTTGGTTCGCAGGAGCTCAAATAAGTAACTCACTCCATTCATGCGAAACAAATTGCCGTTTACTTGCAAATAGTCTGCAACTTTACGTAAACAACAACATTCCTTGAAGAACTGAAGCTCGCCTCTCATTCTAGATCCAATGTATGGGTTTGAAATTCCATCAAATTTATTCTAATTGTAAGTTTTCTCTTTCAGTTCAATGTACAAATTAAGAGGATGTTTTTCCAATGTAAATCAAGGTTAGAAGAATTTCGCACAATTAACGAGTCCAACTACCAGTACAATCTCAACCAGTAAACAAAAAAAAGGAATTAAACATAAAACGAATTTAAATCTTAATCTTACTTTACACACGGTGTTAGGCCCAAGATTGCAAAACTGATATTCCATTCATGAACTCATCTTACCCAAAGCTAATCATCTATAATTCTGCTAATATTACCGATTAGTTCTTTCGCATTTGTTAACTTTCGAAGATTAACGAGGTAAGAAGAATAAAAGTACAGTAAGCGTAACGATCTGACCATATGCCCCTCTTCCTAATAATATCGTGACTTTTAACTTATGTCGACCGCCGCCAAAAAAAACTTTCACAGCATCTAATGCGAGAGAAGGCAAAGAATCGTATTAACATTGATTAGTTCACGACGAGATTACTATGAAAAGGCGGGGTCGTGAATATTGTAGACCTACACACTTAGATATACGGTGTAATTTTCAAAGAAATGTTATTTGCTATCTAATAAGAAACTAAGTATATTAAATACATTTAACTCTTTTGTAACTTTTTATAAAGTATCAATGAAAGAGACCGAGAAAGTGGCATACCCGGCCTGATACCTAGCCCCGATTCGAATATGTGATCCAGCTGAGATGTATGAATGTTAAAATATACACCTCTAACATAATTTTGAAAAATAACCTTTTTTAGTTGGATATCAGGTAAATTTACTTTATACTTATTTATATTTTACATATTCCTATCCAACGATTACTACCCTACAAACTTTTTTAAAATGTGATATAAAAAATGCATATAAGCATAACATAGTCATTTATCTGATAAAAAAAA